CACGTCCACTACCTAATAATGGAAGTGATTTTCCTCCAACAGCTGTTGCCTCGGCTCTACCCGATTTTGTGCAAGACCATTGGATGGATTCATGGTATGCAAACGAAATGCACTTAAATTCCCCACCAAATTCTCCTATCGGTTTTTCTGAAGATCGAACCGGTGGTGGAGCTATGGGTGGTGGTTCGATTGGAGGATCTGATGTAGATGCAGCAACAGGCTATGGAATACCGAAAGGAAATAGTACAATTGGCTCAGGAGTAGGAACAGAATCGGCTGGTAGTTCAAAAATGCTGCCTGATTTCTTATCCGATGGTCCAATTATACACTCTTCACAGCGTTTAGCAGACGTAGCTGCCGGTCTACCATCAAACTCAATGGGCTCACCAGAGGATAATTCAATGACAACACAACTTTCGCGACTTAGAATTGAAAATGAAAGATTACAGCGTGAATTGAACGAGGCTCGTATAGCGCTAAATGAACAAACGCGTCGTGGTCATGATCTGGAACGACAGCTACAGGACCGCTCACGTGTTGATCTAACTTATAGCAGAACATTATCTCAAAACATGTCGGAAGTGGAAGCAATTTTGGATAATAATAATAAACGTGCAGCAGCGACGCAAAGTCACGTGACAAAATTAAAACACCAAGTCACACAGTTAACGGTGAGTTATCATGAATTACAAAAGCAATAAATAGTAATAAATAATTTTTAAATTATTAAATAGGCTCAAGTTGAAACATTGCGACGTGAGAATTATGAGTTACGTGAAGAGGGTGCAGTTGGTGGCTGTAGTACAAGGGGCTGCACAACAGATGGAGTTAGTGCTCGTGGCAAATGTGAAAGACCGTCCAGAACACAACAGATTTCTAAGGAATTACTAAAGGCAGCATCTAATGCGGAAAATAATTTAAAGTAAGAAATCAGAAATTCATATTTTAATTTATATATAATGATGATATGGTGCTGTAAAAAAAATAGGCACTCAGAAACGCTTAAACTTTTTATACTTATTTTTTTTTACGAAAATTGATTTTTTGTTAAAAAAATATATTTCAATGTATTTAATTGCAAATGAAAACGATTTCTAATATTATTAACTATTATTAACTGCAAGTTAATATTATTAACAACAACGAAAGTTATTAAAGATTTCGGAAAAAAATATTGTTAGCTATTTTTATTTTTTATTAATAAGATATGCAAATTGAATAACTATAAAAAAAGAAAATTAAAATAAAATAAAATATAAAATTTGTTTTAACTATTTCTTTTTATGATTGAATTAATTTATTTTAAATAAAATATATAAAAACGTGTTTATATTTAATTTTAACATTTAATTTTAAAATAAATTGATTATTTTTTAAATAAAGTATTAAAAAATATTTTTACATTTTAGACAACTTCTTCTTGGAGTGGATAACTTACGTCGACTAGCTGCAAATATCGACAATTCAAATAGTCCAGAACCATATCCAGATTATATGGATGATTGTGATGATTTTGACGAATACTCCGGCGGACCTGCGTTGTAAATTCTAGAAATCTAAAAAGATAACTAAAACTTAATAAAATATTTAGTCCTTTCAGTGAATCTAAAATAACAATTACCAGAATTATGTTTGCTACACATATATTTGTTAAATATTTACGCAAATTTAAAATATATATATATATATATAATATTATTTTTTTGTTGTATTTACTTCATGTATTTAACAATTTAATCCACAATATGTTTTTCTTAAGTATTCTAAAATTGTTGCTGGCCAGCTACTGAACCCAAATAACTTTAAAGAAGTTTCATATTGATTGTGTTTAATTCTAATAGTGATTGTGTTAATATATATATGAAACTACGTCTTGCGTAAAAAACTAAATCTATGTATAATATTTGTAATTTATCTAAATGATTTCTTCTATTTATTTATTTTTTATTAAGTTTTTCGTTTATTTTCTATGGAAAATGAAACTAACTTACAGCAAACTTTAAATACAAATTATTTGACGCGCTTATAAAAAGTATACGTACACCAACAATAGCATATATCATATAATATTATGTACATATATACAAAATACATATTTAATATGTTAATGTAAAATAATAAAATTAAAAGTGCAAGATTGTATTTTTTGAAATACGAAAATAATTTATCGCAAATTTTGTTCCAAAGTTGCACTAACAGCACTTCCAGTAATTTGTTTTTAAAATTTTGAAAATATTTTTTGTAAAGTTTACATAAAATGGCTTCATTTTGTAGTTTGAAAAATAAAAAAAATATGTTGAGAACAAAACAGAATTTTATTATAAGTATATATAAGAACATACTTTATTTATTTAAAAGGAGAGCTTTAAGTTGAAGGGTGAACACATAGATTGTTTATGAAATGTAATGTCCACACATATTTACAAACTTATTTTAGATAATTATTTTCTATGGTTGCTACGTGGTAAAGTCAATACATTTCGTCCATTTGTCTATTGCATTTTCTGGAACCATTGCGAGTCATGTGGCATTCGATTACCTGAATAATGTATGAGAGACTTGTTGACCAATTAAAAGATAATATGTTCAATTCGACTAAATAATTGGTCATACATCTGAAAAGTAAACTAACCTGAAAACCACACATATTTAATAAGCGTAAATCCTTGGGTCTCAATTTGCGAAACTTATTTTGGTTCCTCAGCCGAAATTCCAAACTGTCACTAGACAATAAGCTGCTTATATACAAAACTGTACTAAAAGCTATATGGAGTTATAGAGCCCAATTGTGGGGTACTGCAACAGACTCAAACTTAGCAACTATCCAGCGTTTTCAATCTAAAACACTACGAATGATCACAAATGCATCTTGGTATGTAACGAATGAACAGCTGCATAAATAACTACGTGTTCCGACAATCAAGAAAGAAATATCTAGAATTACAAAAAATTACGCCCATCGCATATATATGCATTCAAACCCGCTGGTTACACATCTGATGTCCCCCTTCAACACTTTTACAAGGCGAAAAAAGAAAACATCGAGAGACGTTTTAAATATATATATGTAGGTCATACACTTCTATTTTAATTATATATGGATATGTAACTGGACATAGTCCATAAGTACTTTTCTTTTTTAGATTGTAATAACTATTATTACGATTCATGTTATTGTCATTCATACCTGCCAGATTGTAGTAAAATAAATGGATTTAAAAAAAAAAAATGTTCAATTCGAAAATAGAGACACAGTCAGAGTGGAGTAATATAGAATATTCAACTAGGCGTCCAAAAATATATATGATTAATTTGGTCGCCAATAATTTAGTCACTGACAATGTAGTTTGCTTTAAGTTATAAATATAACAGTAGGGCAATAGAAAAATTTTGAGTCCATGTATGATCATAAATATATAATCATCAACAAAAATTCCAATAATCAGCATATGCATTACTAAATATTCTTCACGCCACAATAAATCGAAAGAACAGGGAATAAATTTCTTCGTCATTTACAAAACTCGAAAATCTAGACTATGTTAACAACTGTTTAGCCAAACTAAACGATCTGATTAAAAGAGGAATTTGAATAGAGGACTCTCTTGGAAGTGGATGTTTAGCACAGATTTGCACAAGATTCATATGCTTCACTAAGACTCTATTCAGTAGCATTATTCGGATTATGATATGCACTTAATATTATAAATAAGGATTAAATAATGGATCTATAATTGTTGAAAAATTCATATCCTGTAATTATTTCGAATCACATAAATCGGATTTATGGAGTTGTAGAATCATCACCGGAACCAGTTAAAAGAAAAGTAAGATTACATATAAAACAAATTATTTAAATAAAATCTGCTTGACTTGTAAAATCTTTTCATGTAACAACAAAACATTAATACCTCAGTGTTGTCAGGCACATTTCCAGGGGGTGGAAATGGCTTGAGGGACGGAAGCCGCTTTGCTATAATATATAAAATTACATCTTGTGACCATGATCAGATAAGCATTCTGCAGAAAAGAAATTACTTAGTATAAAACCAAGATGCTAAGATTATTGGGTGATATGAAAAGTTTCCACCGTTTCTTCTATATTTTTGAACAAAAATATTTTGTATTAGAGATTGATTTAAATAAAACTTTTGTAGAATTTCTGTGGTTTATTGGCAAAAAACTCGTTCAATTAATTTTATTCGGTCGGCCATTTGTATCATTTAGAGAGCATTGCAGAGACCAAAACAATTGGTAGTTAGATAGTGCGAGGACCAGGCTATATTGAGATGGATTAAGACTTTACAACAAAGTTCTATTAAATCGTTTCAAGTCATCAAAGATGTGTGTGGCGCGGCAGTGTCATGATAGAACACAACCCTTTTTCTGTTGGTCAATTCTGTTCGCTTTCCTTGATTCTTTCATTCTAGCTGTCGAGTTGTGAGCAGTATAGGACCGAATTTAATAGTGCACTAAAGTAGAGTAGTTCGTAACAGAGACTTTCCTTCTAACCCAACCAAATACTCAACATAGCCTTGTTTGCTGCCCACTCAGGCTTTGAAACCGTTTGTAGAAAGTCACTCACTGACTTTTGACCATGATCTCTTGCGTTGGAGATGATGGTATTTAATTCATTTTCCACCGCCTGTAATAATTCACTTTAAAAGTGTCGAGCATTTTTATCCTATTGTGCTATTTTTAAATGATTCCTAAAATGATCCCTTTACATTTAGAAAGCCATTTGCGATCACCTATTCTATACATACTACTACTACTCTATACTACTATTATATATAATTCATTGTACTAAAATATTTAATAAAAGTTAGAATTTGGTTCCTTTTTACCTGTGTTATATTCTTTTCGATATAGGCTTTTAGAAGTATAGATAATGTTTTATTTTAAAAAACATCGTAATTTTTCATTTGCAATTGCATGGCCTTGATCTTAACTATATTTTTTGTAAAAGTATTTATTTAAAAAAGAACAAAAACAAATAAGCTATATTACCCTACCTCTATTATATCAGTTGCAAAATTAGTATTTCGCGGATTTCTTCTGAATAACAGCTCTCTATCGCGTACCTGAAAACTACCTGTTATCAATATAAACAAACCAGCTTTAGAGATACTCGTACGCATATATTTGGGGAGAAGAACGACCACGCCGCGATTAAAAAGTAAACAAAAATATTCTGTTGTAGACAAACCTCTCGCGCTCTCACTTTCTTCTGCATTCCTCTGGTACTAACACACTCTTGCTACTTTCTCTTGACTCTCTTAAACTGTATTTCTTCCTCCATAAAACAAAATAATAAAATAGCATGTGTTATTTATGGTTGTGATAATACGAAGTTGAGGATGGTGAGATACTCGATTTGGTGCGACTTGCCTTGAAATTAGTTGCGTAGTTGTCGTCAGTTGAAGTGGTTGTTAGTTCGGATTGGGTCGACTGGGACGGGACGTTCACATCTTTCAGAATTAATTAAATTCTATTTATGTTAAGTGAATAAATTTACATCAATATAAAGAAGAAATATAAAATATTTTGAACTTAATTTAAAAAATTCTAAAATGGCGTTTAAAAATCTATATGGTATGTTTTTAACTATAGATCCAAACAAAAATAATATATTATTTATACTAAATAAGTATATCAGTTTATATCGAAAAATATATTTTGCTCGTTTATTTAAAACACCGCCGAAGTGGTAAAGAATGCAGATATTTTTATTTAACAGGAATTTTAATATATCAGATCTATGGTGTTTTTAATTAAATAATTTTTAATTAAACAAAAAATTCTCAAAATCTAATAAATTTAAAGATTTTTATAATTAAACAAAACATTTGAAATTTATTTTGATATATAATAAGAAAAATAAATAAATATAACGACTTGATCAGAAACAAGCAATATATTTTTAGATATAAATTTGTATGTGCAAAAAGATTTTTAATTTTTTTAATAATTATGTATTAATAATTAATAAGTAGTAGCTTTTAATAGTTACTCAAGCGTTCAAAAAATTTTTCTTTGAGTATTTTATAATATATTTTATACCTTTAGGTATATTAGTATATTTATAGATTAAAGAACCTAAAACAATTTCATTATTTACCTATCAAATATATTTTAGTCTGATCGATTTGATGCCTCCAATAAACTCTAAAATTAATTGCGTTTTCGATTTGTAAATCTGCATTCAATCTAGATTCACTCTCGATCTGTCAAATTTTGTCAATCAAACATTTTTAGAGTAATCTCAAGTTTTTGTAGTTGTGTTAGTAGATATTTATATATTTCAAAAATACATATATCGAATCAAAACACAATTTATTTGTTCACACATAAAACAGCTGTTAATTTTATGATTCTAGAATTCACCTTAACCTTAGATGAATCGAACATCTGCAATCAAAAAACGTTCAGAAATGTTAAAAACACAAACTGGACGAATTATAATGCAGCTCTAAGTGAGCTGCTTTTAACCACTTCCTCCGATCCCCCTGGGAACACTTTTGATCTAGACAATCAAGTCCAAGATCTCACCTCAGTGCTCAACGAAGCTTTCAGTTATGCTTGTCCCCTCACACAACCTAGTAGGAAATGTAACCCACCTTGGTGGAATAAGCATCTAGGTCTTTTACGAAAGGAGTGTAGGAGACTCTTCAACAGAGCAAAACTATATAATAATGAGAGTGATTGGCTGAATTACAAAACCTCTCTGCAAGAATATAAGAAAAATTTACGTAGGTCCAAGAGAGACACTTGGCAATCGTACTGTCAAGAAATAAATAGCAATTCTGAAACCTCTAGACTGCGTAAAATCTTATCCAAAAATCCATCTGTCCCAGAGTTACTCAAAAAATCTGACGGGACATGGTGCAATAATAGTAGCGAATCTTTACAATTACTTCGGTAGCTGCATCCTCAGAGTGCCTTAATCTCTCACCGGTTAACTCTATTAAGGTTAACCTGCAGATCGTCAAATGGGCTATTTTTAGTTTTAAACCCTACAAATCACCAGGACCGGATGGTATTCATCCAATTGAGCTCCAGAATTCGTGGGAGTTAATACACAACCGGCTTTTGGCAATTTTTAGACATTGTTTCTTATTTAACTATGTCCCGATTAAATGGAGGGAGGTTAGAGTAGTTTTTATACCCAAAGCTGGTAAAACCTCGCACCATAACCCCAATGAACTCCGTCCTATAAGCCTCTCCTCTTTCATGTTGAAGGCTCTTGAAAGAATAATAGACGTAGAAGTAAGGCGTGCTGTAAGCCCCAACCAGTGGTCCCCCTCACAGCATGCCTACACTAAGGGAAAATCTACAGAGACAGCTCTCCACTCCCTCACTTACAGAATAGAAAAATCCATAAAACTCAAAGAATTTTGTGTGGTTGCTTTTGTAGATATTGAAGGGGCCTTTAACAATATACTCCCGAGTGCAATAGTAAGCGCGATCTCGCGTCTGGGTGTTGATGATGCGCTCATTGGCTTTATAAATCAGCTGCTAACTGGCAGACTCATTGAAGCAACGATGGGCTCATCAACGGCACGCAGAAGGGTAAATAGAGGTACCCTCAAGGAGGAGTACTCTCCCCTCTCCTTTGGAACATAGTGGTGAATGAACTGCTAATACAACTGAAGGCGGAGGGATGCGAAACTATTGCATATGCGGATGATATTGCGATAACAGTCACCGGAAAATATACTACCACTCTTAGGGATATTCTACAAAATGGTCTTAATATCCTAAACAATTGGACACAAAAATGTGGCCTTGGGGTGAATCCCAATAAAACTGAAATCGTAGTTTTCACAAGAAAACATACGGTCCCGAATCTTTCTCCACCCTCTCTACGAGGTTCTGTGATACATGTGAAGGAGGAAGCCAAATTTTTAGGTATAGTTTTCGACAGGAAACTCACTTGGAAGAAAAACACTCTAGAGCGTGCAAGAAAAGCCAATGTTGCGCTTCTTCTATGTCAGAAAGCTATTGGTAAGAAGTGGGGTTTTCAACCTCGCATCACCCAATGGCTATATATAGCTGTTATTAGGCCCATATTAATGTATGGTATTACGGTATGGTGGACAGCTCTTGATAAATCTTCGTACTGCTCAGTACTTAACAGGATTCAGCGTAGAGCTGAACTCTGTATTAGCGGGGCGCTATGCACCACACCATCCATTGCACTAGATTTGATGCTTCAGTTACTGCCAATGGATATTATTAGTAAACAAATGGCAGCTTCATCTGCTTTAAGACTAAAAGCTACCTCACAATGGAGAGACAGTGACTATGGTCATGCCTCCATTCTAAATCTTTTCAATTTTACTCCTAAAAACGTTGATTACATCACACCCACTCTCAACTTTGACAGGAAATTTGATGTCGTGTTTCCATCTAGAGAGGTATGGACGTCAGGTGGCCCCTTCTTAGATGAGGGCGTAACCATCTTCACTGACGGATCCAAAACAAGTAGTGGTGTAGGTAGTGGAGTTTTCTCAGAGGAATTGAACAAATCTTCCTTCTTTAGGCTTCCAGATCACTGTAGTGCCTTTCAGGCGGAAGTGGTCGCCATCAGGGAAGCTATAGCTTGTTTGAATGTAGATGATATATTTGGCAGGAATATATACATACTATCAGACAGTCAAGCTGCATTAAAGTCCTTGAGTTCGGTCCAATTTACATCTAGGACGGTTCTTGACTGCTACACATCTCTAAACGAAATGTCGACGCAGCTCAATATTTCTCTAATCTGGGTTCCCGGCCATAGGGATATTTTCGGAAATTGCAAAGCAGACGAGTTAGCCAGAAAGGGTGCATCAGAACCATACTCGGAGCACCTAGATTATCTGGGCAT